CTGCTGAGGGAATGACTCATGAATCAATACAGATGAGTGAAATTCCTTGCAGGTCTATATGCTGTATTTCCACTCACACATCCTGCTTTAAGCTTGATTTTTCAAACACCACTTTGAGGGAATCGTGTTCATATTTGTGTTCTATTAGAAGTAATGTTCTGCTGTGAAGCGAGGTCCGTTCCTGCCATCTTTGCACACAATCTGTCACACCATCTGGCATTTGCACCCAATGGATCGTTCTTATTTTATACCCAATTGTGTAGATAGTTTGATTTTCCATGAAAAACTTGCCAGTTCATCAGAATCATATAAAATTTAGTCCTTTCTGCCTACATCCTTGTAATACATCAATGTATTACTTGACATCTTGGCTGGTGTCACCTGTACACTCAATAAGCACAATTTCTATTTCATCTAAAACAAGCAAACAGACCCAGAATCAGCTCCTATGAAACCATATTTGGAATGTTCTACTATGTTCCAGTGAATCATGAGCAACTACATCCCCTGTGACCATTCTGCACCCATGTCAAGCAGAACATATTTATAGTGCCCCTACTTTTTGGTGAGCACATTGTATGGCCTGAATTAAAACCATAAAAAAAGGTAAGGTATACTTACTGTTTCTTTGTGTCCTTTCAATCGGATACTTTTATTATGAAAGATCAGGAAGCCCAGTTCAGTAATTCAAATAAAATTTTTTTGCAAAGAGCAGTTATAGTGTTGGGGACGACACAGTGACAACTTCTTGGGTGAAAAACCATTTTGAAGGGAAGGGTCCGGCAGAAGCTTATTGTTCACATCTCTGCTTAAGCAGGTCCTTGGCTAAAGTATTGTAGTGTGTAGTTATTAAACCCGCATGGTTAGGAAACCCCTTTAGTCCACTCCTTTCTTGGCCAAACTGCTTTATTTCCAAGTGGTTTCCTCCTCCTTTATTTTTCTATTTTGATGATTTGAGAAATCAAGAACTAGAAGAGAAGAACAAAACAAAGCCCAGAAGAAAACATCAGTAATTGGTATTCACCTGATTTCAACGCTGTGTGTGGCTTCTATTGCTAAAGAGAATGCGACTAAAGGGGAAGATGGGAACTATTAATAGAGTTAATTACATTGAATTAACCTTGCCGCTCTCAGAAAAGAAATAACCATAGTGAACAATCAGATAGTTGAAACCAACCCCCTGCTTCTTTCCAGTGCTAAGATAACACAGAGTGGAGGAGGAATCAGTGCTGTGTCCCTGAGGTCTGCAAACTAAGGTTTATGGGCCAGATTCAGCTGGTTGCCTATTTTTGAGCGGTCTGTATGCTAAGAGTGGTTTTCACTTTTTTTTAATGGTTAAAAAAAAAATCAAAGGAAGAACAATATTTTGTGATTTGAAAATTAAATTACACGAAATTCACATTTCAGTGTCCATTCATACAGCCTTTATGGAACACAGCCATGCTCATTCACTTATGTATTATCTTGGCTGCTTTCTACAATGGCTGATTTGAGTATTTGTGACAGAGACGATGTGGTTCCCAAGCCTAAAATATTTATAATCTGTCACTTTCCAGAATGAGTTTTCCAATCCCAAGCAGAGTGGAAAAATTCAACTTAGTAACTGAATTTACAGAGGCAGAGAGGGATTTTAGTGACAATGGGAGAAAAGTTCGTGTGTGATTTGCGATGACTGAACTGCTTTTAAATCCTGGTCAAGGTTTTAAAAGGGCAGGCCAGGCAATTGGCAGGTACATTTCCCAGTGTGGTTTATGTCCTTGTGAGTGATCATAAGTGACAGTGAGGTGTAGACAGCATTTTTGGAAGAGCAACATCTTCTATACCTTTCTTTTCCTCAAAGTATTTTTCCATATTGTTAATGGTTAAAGGAAGGCCGATGTGGCCATTAACAAGACTTGCATTAAGCATTTTGCACCATTAAATATTCTTTTGAGAGACCTTATAATAAGGAGTTTTTCAGAATACTTAACCATATTTCTTAATTATAAATTGATTTCTTCCTGACTATATTCTTTTTTATTTTTTTTTAAATTTATTTATTTATTTATGGCTGTGTTGGGTCTTCGTTTCTGTGCGAGGGCTTTCTCTAGTTGTGGCAAGCAGGGGCCACTCACTATCACTGCCTCTCTTGTTCTCTGCGGAGCACAGGCTCCAGACGCACAGGCTCAGTAATTGTGGCTCACGGGCCCAGCTGCTCCGCGGCATGTGGGATATTCCCAGACCAGGGCTCGAACCCGTGTCCCCTGCATTGGCAGGCAGATTCTCAACCACTGCGCCACCAGGGAAGCCCCTGACTATATTCTTCGAACCAATAACAAGTACACAAAAAGAGAGCTTCGTAAAGCATCATAACTTTGCATTTTAAGGTATATTCCTCCTATAAAGACAACTGCCTGGAAAGATGTGAGAGGAGCAGTGCGTAAGCCATGATTCATCTCCAACTCTCAAAGTATTAGAAACCAGAAATCATGTTCCACTGAGCCACTCTGCTTTTCAAGAGACATTTTTCAGAAATCCAGATTGCCTTGCTAAATCCCAAATGAAAAACTCAAGCTGGAGTCACTAAAAGGCGTTCACACATTTGTGAAATTGGGGGAATTTATCTAATATCCCATTCCATTTGATTAAATCGGTTCTCTGGGTGAGTGAGTAGATGGTGCAAATCCACAGATCTGCATATGCCCCTGAAGGGACTGAGAATTTTAGATGTAGAAGGGACAAAGAGAGAGTCGCTAAATCTGTACAAATTAAAGTTTCGAGTCCAGTCGCGGAACCCAAATATGAATGATCTCCTAGCCCCCTGCTAAAGGAAACTAACTTCTCTCCATCCTTTGCATCCCCTTTCAAGAAAACAAGTATATTTGTGAACTTGAAAGCAATCGATCTTATTTTTTAAATTACAGAAATAACGAAATAACTGCATGTGTGCGTCTCAACCCGTTTCAGACGAAAGTAGGCGGGGCGAACCACGGCGGAGGCAGCTTCGAGGAGGTGCTGAGCTCCACGGCCCAAGCCAGCGCGCAGAGCTCGGCCGGCGGCCCCGGCCCCCGGCGGGCCGAGGGGGAGGAGCTGCAGTGCTAGGGCCCCGCCCGCGCCCGCAGCCGCCTCCAGGGACCCTGCCCTGCCCGCGCGCATCCGGATATGAAGACCAGAATCCCACTGGAAGACCCAGGCCTTGACCTTGTTCTTCAAATGGCTTCTCCTGAAAGTTTAATTAAATGATTTCCACTTGAATTTGTTGATGATGGACCACGTGACCATCACACTTCAGTATTCATAGCTTGTCATCTTTTAAAATGTCGGCTCCAGCAGGTACACAGTTGGTCACGACCCTTGTTTTTTGTGTAATTCAACATATTTTCCAAACATGTAGCTTAGTAACCATTTGCTTTGATTTTTGCTTGGACTCCTGTACGAAGTGCATGTCTTTGAAGGCTCAGTGCCCCCTTTCAGTTCTGTCCACAGGATGGAGCTCTTTCTGACCGTCTCTAGCAGTGAATGGGATGACACTCAGAATTTCATCAAACTGCTTCCGATCTCCCTCGCCTACTTTAATTCCTTATGTTTATTTAAGCAATTAAAATAATTGATTTTAATGACGACTTTGAATTCTTAATTTCTTTACGTTTCAGTTCTGCTGATGACCTTGAAAGGTGGTAGGTATAATTCTGCAGATGCTATTTTAAATCAACTTCTGCCAATTTGGAAAATATGAGAGAGGATATGTAAGTAATTATAACCTCAACTACCTTAGGATGCTGAAACAATCTACAATTCTAAAATTCTCTCTAATCCACCTAGAGTAGTAGTTAGCTTGGTAACTACTGAGTTAAGCAGGCAAGAGATAGCTGAAAAGGGAATTGCTAGAAAATGGGAGAAGCAGCGCTCTGCAACTGTTTCCAGTTTACAAATTGCTCACAAGAATGAAAAAAGCGTCAATCAGTACAATCAGATTTCTGCAGTACTGTTTACCTTCCACATCACATGCTTCTTTTTTCTTCTAAATGGGAACATAACATTTGTTATTAGGTAGAAGGTAGCATTTGTTGTTAGTAGCATCCTATAGCTACATTTTTTAAATGTACACTGTAGAATGTAGAATAGACCTACCAACTAAAAATTCACAATTTAAATAAGCAATATGTATATATACTCCATATAATATACATAATATAGAGAGCAATATATATAACTATATATTATATATAAATATATAATCCATATAATATACATAATATAGATAGTATGTTCATTGTTCATTTTTTAACTTATTATTAAATAGAAGTGGATATATGTAAATAGTGAAATAAGACCAACCTAAAAACTTCCATTGAAGTTAATGGAGCAGGACAATGCATACACCTAACTGAAAATCGAACTGGTTCAGGGCCACATAATCTCTGAGGCCTGAAATCTCAGGAGCAATAGGTGTGGGGCTATAAACTTGAAGCAGAGTGGACAAAGGAGCCCTGCCAGCAGGAGCGTTGGCATTCTCCCTAATTTATCCTTCCAGCCTGCTGGTTGAAGCCAAACTGGCTTGTGATTGTGTTGCTCACCCCCTGCTGCAGCGTGTCCTCGGTCTCTGTGACCAATCTGCAGTTGCCTGGTCACCTTTTGTAAACTCACTGCCACCTTCTTTTTGATTGCATTCAGCACCCTGCATTGTATTAGAAAATGCAGTTATGTTGCTATAAACATATTTTCATTCACCAACCTGTTTCTGCACACAGTAGCCTCAACCCTACAATCTGAAAACACAGGATTAAAATTAGGTAGAAAAATAATCAAGAAAATTAGTGTTAATGCCTCAAAGCTAAAATAAAATAAAATATATTTTATCTGCTTATTTTATTTATTTATTTTAATTTTGGGGGCTGCGCCAGGTCTTAGTTGCAGCATGCAGAATCTGGTTCCCTGACCAGGGATCGAACCCGGGTCCCCTGCATTGGGAGCACGGAGTCTTAACCACTAGACCACCAGGAAAGTCCCTAGCTGTTTATTTTAAACCATTCTTCAAAAATTCTAATTTCATCAGTTTTGTAAAAACTATATTCACATCACCTCTATTAATTGAAAAGTTTGTTTTTAATTAAAATTATTCCCTCTGATCTGGGAGCAATATAATGGCCATGACATATCTTTTTTCATTTTGTCATGAGATGTGTGAGTAGAATAATTAAATCAGTTGTTGGTTGGTAGGTCTCATCTTCTCACTGCTTAATCACTCAGGAGCTGCTCGTGTCTCCCTGACTTTGCACAGGCAAGTATGTCCCAACTTGACTGGCCGCTGAGTTGCCCTATTTTGTCCAGCTGGGCTTAGTTCACATGCAGTAGTTTAAAGTGTCCCACAAGTACTGAACAGTATTTGCACACAATGGACATAGCCTTTTGCTAACAAATCAAAACGACTTCAGGTCAGGCCAGCCAAGTATACGAAACGCCACAACACGTATGATACCAAAAATGCATCTCAATAATTGAAAACTCCAGTGTGAATTGTGATTACAAAATAAACTGTTTTTAAGTAAGCCATTCTGTAATTTAACCATTCATTACTTTTTAAATCCTGTTGCTTTGATGGAAAACATTCAGAAATTTACACCACTGCAAATTTATCTAAAACTCATATATCTCATAGACTATGACTATTGGTAGGTCATGTCAGCAAAGCAATCTTCCCTAAATTACACATTCTCTTATAAATCTGCTCTTGAACCATAGACAACAGAACAAACTGTCCTGATACGCCATGCCACTCACAGTGGTCAACGTGAAGAGAACTCTGGGAATCTAAGCGGCTCTTCTGCCACAGTGCATTGTTCCAAAATTACCCGTCAGCTTGAAGGTTGTTGAACTTCACTGTAAAATGGTGCATAAGGTTGTGAACTTTAACCCCAAGCCTCTCCTCTCACTTTTTATTAAATTGGAGTGTGGATGGGTACAATAAAGGAAGGTGGTGATAAGGTTAAACAGTGATTTAAATATGACATGTAAAGCAACTTCTTCAAGCCTAGCGTTCAAATATAATTTCAAACTATATTTGGCAAAATCTTACGGTTATTTTTGATAATCTTTATTTAAGAATGGTAAAATTCTTTATTCTACATTTCTACTTGACTTTCAGCTTCTACCATAAAGAGTATATATATCAAGGCAAACCACAAATAACATAAGTCTCCCATAGAAATCATCCCCAATCGCACTTTGTCTATAAAGAGTGGCAAGTTACTTAAATAAAAATGCTGTGTACAGAGGATGCTCTTCCCAAGGCACTTCGTTAGTCATTTATCCCAGAGCATGCGTTACAAGATTTTAAGACGAACAGGTTGGCCATTCTGTTAGAATTAGTATTTGTCAAATATAAGGGCATTGAGAATTACGTAAGAGCTAGGGAAATGGTAGCTCACAATGGGAATACAAGGAATTGTTTTGGAGATGATAGAACCACCCCCACCTCCACCGACCCGGATCAGCCCCAGGGACCAGGCAGGGAGAACTAGCCTGAGGTGCCCCCTGCAGACCAACCCTTCCAGCTGCTCCTCTTTTTGACTGCGGGGTAGTCTCTTCCTCATTACCAAGAGGTAACAAGGAATTGTTTTCGTTGAGTTCATGTTGGAGGTCATCAGGAGGATGTGACCACCAGCTGACCAGAGAGCTGGGCCCAGGCAATCGGAGGCTACTCACCCCCATCCCTGTGCGTGTAATGTGTGTTCCACCTACCATTCCCACACTAGGAGCTGTTTCAAGGATGCTGCCTTGAGACGGTAATGGTTGAGACCATCTGGACGGTACCCATGGCTGACTGAAGCCAGTTAAAGCTTCTATTTAAACTCAAGATTCTGACAGGTGAGTGCAGAGATCTTGTCTTGAGGCCACCCCAGACAAGCTGCATACATAAGTTGCCTTGTTTATGAACTGGCCACCTACTAAGCTGGAGTGGCTGCCTCTTCTGCAGTCCCTCCTTGCCCTCCGTGAAGGGAAGCCGGTCTGCGAACCAACAGTTCAACCCAAGAATAATTATTTACTCGGCAACGTAGTTCTAGGGGTTGTTATTCAGAAGACCAATTCCAGACCAGTAGCACGGGTATCTAAGAAGAAAAACACATTAGATTGATAATGCTTAACTATTTGTAGACGCTGGCTGGTGAATGCAATAGCTATCTTCTTTTACTGATCTTTGTTTTGTCCTTATTAAAGGATATTTTATTTATAACACCATTACGTTTTCTGTTTTTAGATATGTTAGCCCAATAAGGAAGGTTTAGGACTAAGTGTGAACCCTCATTTGGTAGGTAAATGGAAAAATGAGATAATGATTGTGACCAGTATTAAGTCTGACCCAGTAAAGACTTCGAGAGTCTCTGTGTGGATTTATGAAAATTACAGCAGGCAAACAACCCAAATAAAACTCCAGGGCCACAGAAAATCTTCTGGTTATAAATATTTGAACTTTATCAAGGGCTATTTTGTGTGCATGTTTTCATGCCAGGAGAAAAAACTCCAAAACACTGATAGATATAGTTGTTTTCTTCTTAACCATATCTCCAATTAATAACCAGACTTTGCTGACTTTCAACTATTTACTGCTTTTTACATACTGTTGCTGTGATGCAACAGCATTTCAGTGCAGAGCAGCACTGCTCTTCTCAATGCAGATCAGCTCTATGTACATGTCTGTGTTGCTCCTAGAGAGATCATGCACCTTGCTTCTGGCAGATTGGGTATCCATGGATACTGCGAAGAGTTTCCAAAGAAACCGTGCCTAGGATTCTCACCATGCCAGCCTTTTTAGGCCTTCTTCAAATGGAAACTGACATTTGAATTAAAGGGACAGGCATCATGCTCCCACCAAACTACTGAGCAGGTTTGCATGGATCGCCTTCCTTTCCTCACCATTCAGTGGCTGTGCAACATGTAAAGGCAAGCGGGCAGATTACTTACCCTATGCAAGGGAAATGAGGGGAAGAAGTCGGGTCTGATGTGTTCTCTCCATAAGGTCCCGTGTCCCAGTAATAACGCACATATTTCACATCTGGTGATAAATATTCTTATAATCAAGGTCTGAAGAATATAAATCAGCCAGGGAAAAACAGAGGAGGAGAAAGGATCGAGGGGGGTGGGGGCAGAACTAGTTACCAGGTTTACACGTCTATGATCAGGGGCCTAAAGCAGATCATAGTGAATTAAAAATCTGGCTGCAGAATCTGAATAAGGCAACATTT